GATCACCTCATTGAACTGGAGCAAAACTGAATCCATGAATTGCAGCTTATCTTTATGATATTGAAGCCTTTTAGTTCCTACGAATTCAGGGAAAACTCATTTCTTGAATGTCAAAAATATTAATTTTTGTTAGTTCATTCACAGGATGAGGGCATCGCTGGCTGGCCCAGCATTTATTGCCCATCCCTAAATGTCCAGAGGGCAGTTAAGAGTCAACCATATTGCTTTGGGTCTGCAGTCACATGTAGGCCAGTCCAGGTAAGGATAGCAGATTTCCAGTTGGGTTTTTCCTACAATTGACAATGGATTTTGTGGTTATCATCAGACTCTTTATCGCAGATTTTTATAGAATTCAAATTCCACCATCTACCATGGCAGGGTTCAAACTCAGGTCCCCAGAACATTACCTGGATTTCTGGATTAACAGTCTCGCAATAATACCACTAGGCCGTTGCCTTCCCATATGAATTACACAGGACTACACAAGTGAGGTTATTGACTTGCTCACTGAGCTGGCTTGTTTTTGTTTAAATGTTTCGTCACCATGCTGGGTAACATCATCAGTGAGGCCTCCGATGAAGCTTTGCCGGAGACCTCACTGATGATGTCACCTAGCATGGTGACAAAACGTCTGAACCAAAACAAGCCAGCTCGGCAAGTAAGTCAACAACCTCACCCACAACCCGAACAACAAACCTTGGCTAAAACCTTTCAGGACAATACAAGGTACACAGTATGGAAACGGGCCATTCGGCTGAACTAGTTCATCCACTGTTTCATATCCATTCAAATATTAACCGATCTTTCCTAATTAAAACTATTTATTTTATTATTATATTCACCCTCATTTTAGCTTCCAGCTTATCCTTAAATGAATTTATATTATCCACTTCAACAAACCCCTGTGATAATGAATTCAATGTTTTCACCATTTTTTGGATAAAGAGGTTTTTTTTTAAATTGCCTATCAGATTTAGTTCTCGATACCTTATATTGACGCTCTCTAGATAGGCAGTGCTCTAGCAAAGCCTTTCACAATTCTAAAGACCTCAAATATGTCACACCTGAGTCTTTTTTTTTCAAGCAACCCATCCAGTTGAGTCTTCCATGACAATATATATCCATGTATTTCCGGTATCATCCTTGCAAATTTTCTCTGCAACCCCTCCAGTGCTCATAATATGGCAGCCAGTTCCCTTAATGTACACTAATCAAGGTTTGATATAGATATTGTATAACCTCCCTACTTTTAAATTCTGCCCCTCTGGGAATAAAGCCTGGTGCTTGCTTTACTTTTCTCAAAGTCTTGCTAACCTGTTGTGCAACTTCAGTAATTAGGTGCCTTTGTTTCTTTGTTCTTTCATGGCATGTAGATGTTGCTGGCTAAGCCAGCTATTATCGCCTATCCATGACTGCCCAGAAAGTAGGTAAGACTCAACCACATTCCTCTGGGTCTGCAGTTACACGTAGACCAGAACAGGTAAGGATGGCAGATTTCCTCCTCTACGGGACATTAGTGAACCAGCTGGGGCTTTATGACAATTGGTAAAGCATACGTAGTCACCATTAAGACTAATTTTTTAAAAAATTCAAATTCCACTATCTGCCATGGTCAGATTTGAATGCATATCTAGAAAAGCAGTTTGGAGCTCTGGATTACTAGGCCAGTGACATTACCACTCAGTCACCATTTCCCCTCTCTCCACTGAAGATTGAGACTTTACACAAATTTTCAATTTTCAAATTGAACAAAACAACAGCACATTATCTAATTTTATATTAGCCACGTACTTTAGTCAAATATTAATTATACAATACAATACAGCACAGGAACAGGCCCTTTGGCCCACCAAGCCTATGCCAATTCCTAATCCTTAGTGCCCATATGCGGTTTCTATCCCTCCTTTCTATCCCTCTGTTCCCCTCACGTTCACGTGACTAACAAGGTATGCCTCAAATGTTGCTTATGTGCCTCCTTCCACCACCTCCACTGGCAATGCATTCCAGGCGCCCACCTACCTGTGTTAAAACTTTTTCCACCACTTCTCTCCTAAACTTTCACCCTCTCACTGTGAAAATGTGCCCTCTTGTAGTTAACCT